GGTGGTGGGTATTGAGGAGGGCACATTCTGCATGGAGCACTGGGTGTTATGCACAAACAATGAATCATGGAACACTTCATCTAAAACTAATGATGTAAAGTATGGGGATTAACATAAGAATAAAAAAAATAAATAAATAAAAAGAAAAGTGACACGCTATTTTGCACACAAAGGCCATCCACTGGCCTTGGACTTAGAACTCCCGCTTGGAAGTTGCTTCTCCAAATCCTTATCCAAAACATTGCTGAGTTATGCTGAAAAACAACGCAAAGTGTATAGGCTTGGGTTCCAGTTGTGTAAAAGCGACCTTTTGTGCTTTCACCAACTTCTCGAGAGGTTGTTAAAAGCTTTGGGGAGACTTTGCTCCCTGTCCAGCCGGGGCTGGGCAAGTGCCAGCTACTCTCATCTGCGAAAGACCGAAAGTCTAAGGCTTTTAACAGGGTCAAGCAGTTCTGTCACGGTGTTCCGCTAACAGAAAGGAGCAGGAAGCCGCCCCCTTTCTTCCAAGCACCGGGACCCAGTGAGGCGCCCAGGGGCTCCCTGGAGAGTATCCGTACCGAGAGCCGTCGAGTCAGAAACAGCTGTCTGACATCGAAATTCCCCACACTGGTGTCCTTTCCCTGCCTTGAACCCCTCAACGTTGAGGGCTGGTTGAGAGGGGGAGGGGACACCTCAGCGCAACAACGGCCTCAACCGTCTCCCGCCAACTCCGCACTCCGGCCCACCAAACCCGCGGCCAGAAGAATCCCACACTCACTGGAAAGTAGGGCCAGGTCCTGGTCCTGGCCCGGCCCCAGGAATTCGGCGGGTCTCCCACGGTTTCGGGGGAGGAGGCGGCTGGGAAGCCATCGCCTCCGCCTCTGCTCGGCTCTTGGTTGGCGCTGGGACCCCTCAGGCCCGGGTACACTAGCACCTCACGCGCCAGGCAGAATGGGCAGAACACCGAGTCCTCCACCCCGCCCACCCCTGCAGTTAGGATGTCGCTTGTGGTACTTTGCCAGCTGGGACCTGAGGAAAGGAGGACGCCGCTAATCCACCGGGGTGGGGAATACTCTCTTTTTATTTGCCTTAGCAAGAATTTCCATTCTAAACCTGAGGGTGAGGGCTCATCGATATTTCTGGCAGCGGCTAGGACGCCCTAGACGTCGGAGTCCCACGGAGGCCTCTCTGGGACTAGTCGGGCTCTGGCCGGGAGTTCAATCCCACGCACTTGTACCCCAGCGTGGGTGGCGGTGGGATGAAGGGTTGTGGCGGCGCGACAGGCAGTTTTTTTGGTTTCTCCACAAACAAGAAGAGGAGAGAGTTCACTCAGCCCTTGCGAGAGGGCCTGGTACTTTCGTTCTAAAGCTTTCGTTTCCTCGGGGAACAGAATTGCTACACGCAGTAGGTGCGTTATCTTTAGTCTTCCCTGTTCCCTCTGGGGGGCTAGAAGAGGTTAAACCTCAGGCTCCGGCGTCGCGGTAGAAGGTGAGGCAGGAAGGTCTAAGGGGTGGGGGTACGACTTGGGCGCAGGAGAGGTGTGGATGGAGGGGATAGTTTCCTTCCTGCTGGAGCGGCCTTGTTAGCAAGGAGGGGTGAGCGGGAAGTTTCTTGGACCTGACTGAGGGAGGGGAAGGGCTTTCTTGGCCAAAGACTGGAGGTTAGGCCTTGGATGAATTTCCAAGAGTCTAGATTCTACAATTGAGTATAACGGTAGCACAATAAAGTTGTGAGGGTCGCCTTTGAAAAATCCGCACACTCCCCCACCCCCGTGAGACAATGACACACGGCTGTATGGAAATGAGTGTTGAAAGATCACGGGATGTGAGACTTAGTCTGGCCATTTTGGTGTTTTTTCACATGCCCCGCTCCTTCTCTATTTGCAACGAATGGTTTCTCTAAGTCCAAGAGGTGAAAAGAAAGTCCATCGTCTCCTCCAGTTATCATTGGTTCGTGGAGAAGGGACTCAAACCCCGTAAAGATCCGACACGTGGGAAGAGATTCTGTTGCGATGACTAGTTCCAATTCTTTATGTAAAAGAAGCACTTAAACGAAAATCTTAACGAAGGCAACCGACAATGAAAACCTTACAGTATGGGATGCATTTCTCAGGGCTTGCTTTCAAGGATAATAAACCTCATATGGAACAACTGATTTCTGATGACTTCTGAAATCCTTTCAGTGCTGTACGTCAAGATGAAACAACCAAATTTGAGACAGAACGCGTTTCCTCCTTTTAATGTTAACTTGTTTGAGAAGTCTCTTGATTGTTGCTAAAGGAAAATAATCTTGAGGGTTTGGAAGACCATGCCGTTACTGACACATACACACTGAAGAGGGTTTTTGTTTTTTTAAGACCTCTTCAAATTACTCAGGACAGGAGGTTTCCTAATTCTCAACAGGTTTGGGAACTTCTCAGAGCCCAGAGATTGTGATATGTCATTTATTGACTTTGCATAATACCTTTATTCTTAGTGTACCTATTGGAGAAGTAAACATTCAGTCTTTGAACCAAAGGAAAGAAAGCATCCATTTTCTTCAATTAAAAAAAATTTTTTTTTTAATTTAAGTGTACTTACACAATGTTACATTAGTTTCAGGTGTAAAACATGGTGATTCAACTTCTGTATATGATATTCTGTGCCCACCACAAATGTAGCTACCATCTGTTACCACCCTATAACCTATTACAAATCATTGCCCTTTATTCTGGTAACTTATTCCATAATTGGAACTGTATTTCTCACTCCTCTTCCCTCTGGCAACCATCAGTTTCTTCGTTTTTAAAATTCCACTTATGGGTGAAATCATATGGTATTCGTCTTTCTCAGTCTGACTTATTTCATTTAGAATAATAACCTGTTCAGTCCATCCATGTTGTTGCAAATGGAGGGATCTTATCCTTAGAAAGCATCCATTTTAATAATAGTATTTAACTTCATCCCCAGGGAAAGCTTTGATACAAAGTGTTCTTTCAAGAACTTACTCGTGTACTTATTTACCCAGAGGGTTTGTTTCTCTTTCTGAGTTAAAGGTTAATTCTGAATTAAATGAAATCTTTGGTCTTAAGTAATGGAAAGGTGGAGAAAAGATAGAGTGAGACAGAAATAGTTTCTCTGGGAGGGGATTGCAGTCAGGGATATACCTTAAATGCTGAGAATCAACCCCTCACTGAATCCCAACCCTTTCTCAGAATCAAACTAGCAGATTAAATGGCCTGGCAGAAGGAATTCAGATCATTTGTATATAATGATGACCACACAGAGCTTCTCTATATACAAGGTGTTCTCCACATAATTCTGTGTCCTTTTGTGAAAATGCCCTTGAGCCCAAATTTACTTAGGCTACCCTAAATCAGAGCTTTAATCCTGTGTCTCAAAGTTCTCACTGGTGTATCCAGGCAAAGTCTTATTTTCTTCTTTCTCTTCCTGTTTGCCAGCTCCCATACTGTATTTACCTGAATTGAAACTCAGCAGGAGGCAATCTGTCTTTTGTAGTCCTAGCTGCTAAACTGATTTTTATGGTGAAGGGTTTTGTGGAAGTATATACCTGCCTTCCTCATTATTTTGTGTCAAGGATATTCTCTCAATAAGTGGCCACAAACATTTAGAAATTTGCAAGTAAGGAGTGGGTTTTAAAGGGTTGGAAAGCACAAACTAATTCTAAGAATCACATCTTCACAGTAAGGAGTTGGTAAGAGCTCCACCCTCCCACAAATTTTAAGCAAGTTCATTTGAATTGTGAAACTGCATGAATTAAAAAGCACCAGTTTTTTATCTGTATGACTACCATACCACAACATTGCCATGCAATCATTATTTTATAAAATATTGTTAGTTCCTCATTTTAAAGTAATGTGAGCTGATTTATTAATCAGAAGATCTGTTTTTGCAAAACAGAATAATTAGGTAATTTAATTTTTGTACACCTCCTTCCTGGCAACAGGAGAGTTATATCGGATTTTACTCCATTCTCTAATTTGTTTCTAAGGGCATTTATTCAAATTGTGAAAAGTAACAGCTTGTTTTAGATGATAATTACTCTAAATTATTTTGCATTTAATTTGTGGGGGTTTTTCTGGTGGGGGGAGGTTTTACTTGTGCATGAAAGGAGCAGATTCTTCTCATTTTGCTAATAGTTGGTTTCATTTAGTTATTTTGTCAAAGTATAATCGATGTCCTTAGATCTACTGATCAATTTGTTTTAAATACTTGACTGCTTAACTATCATTGAGGCTAGTAAAATATATAGACTGATCTGATTATTTTTTCCTGGCAAACTCATTTTTAATTTCTAATAGGAAAAGTTTATTGAATTTACTACTTTGTGTTCTCAAACAACACTGAATGGTACAAAATAACAAAACATCACTCTGTATTCTTTGTTTTTATTACCCTCCTCAGAGACAACCATTCTTGGTTATTTTTATTTTTATTTATTTTTATTGATATACTTTTATCATAAGCCAGAATGCTACACTAAATTCCTTGATAATTAGAAACTTTTACCTGGCCCATCTAATAAATGTCTTTCAAGTTTATGTTTCAATATGCATATAATGAAAAGGATATTATTGGAGAGTACAAAATAATGTTTTCAAATAAAAGTTAGTTTTTATCCCTAAAGGTGATGACATATTTCTCTGTGAAAGTAAAACACAAAAGATGTTCATTACTTTTTCTTTCTTTCTAGTTATAATTATTCAATATGTTTCCACTGACTGAGGAAAACAAGCATGTGGCCCAGTTGTTGCTCAGTACTGGTACCTGTCCAAGATGTATTTACAGATTCTGTGGTGTGGATTTTCATGCACCTTACAAACTTCCCTACAAGGTACTTTCATTTTGTTTCTAAAGAAAGTTCTCTATTCTAAAATGAATACCTGTACATTTGAGGGCAAGTATCTGTCCATAACTCTTCATTAAATTAAAAAAACTATAATAAAATAATTACTGATAATGGTAAATTTGGAATTTCGTTTTAGTACCATAAAACTGTAAGTTCCTTCTTAAGTGATTATATCTAACATTTAATGTAGTGGGATCTTTGTGGAGCAAATCCCTGGTGTATTTAATGTTTGTATATACCTCTCCTAAAGAGAACACAGATATCACAAAATAGTACTTCTAACCAGATATTAGTAAGATGTGACAGGAGGAGGATGACAGTCCTGAGATCTTCTATTAAGGGGAGGCATTGTGGATTTGGCTGCCTTTTTTCTTTTTCTGTTTTCTTTATTACCATTTGTACTTACAAATAGGTATTTGCAACCCTCCAGAAGTAAATGCTTATCATCATCATTATTTACTGCTATTAATAATAGCAAAAATAATATACAGGGATCTTTGACATTTATGGTAATATACAGAGAGCTTTGACTAACAGAATACTTTCACAAAAAATGTGTAACATATTTTGTGAAGTATACTTGATTCCAATAGTGACATTCTTTTTAGAGACAGATAGTAATTATACATATGTAAATATATACCTATATAAACACTATGTATACACACATGCACACTCAGTTTCTTACAATTTTTAAAAATGCTCAGGAGTTAGCAGTATCAATCATTTTTCCTATGTATTATTTGTTTCTATTATTTTGGAAATAATTATATCTAATATTCATATAACATTTTTATATGTCAAGCTCTCATCTAATCCTAATAATAACCTATTAGGTAAGTACATACTATGATTGTCTCTATTTTCAGATGAAGAAACTGAGGCACAGAGAGGTTAAACAACCTGCCCAAAGTTACACAGCTATTAAGTGAGCAAGCTAGGATATGAACTGTCTGTCTGAATCCAAAGCCTAGAATTTGGAGCTAGAAGACATGGATTTGAATCCCAGTTCCAGCTTCAGTTTTCTCCTCTCTAAATGGGAATGATGATAACATCCACCTCACAGGATTTTAAGGGACAATTTCTAATAAAGTATGTGAAAACACTTTGAAAATGGTACATATGCTATGATGATTAATATATATATGTGTATATTCATTTATACACACTATGACTATGAGGTAATCATACTGGTTTTGTGTAATTCTCCTTACACATTTTTCAGACACATTATATGATTCTATTATTCTGTGCATTTGTTTTCTATTTAAAATATGTTTTAAGATTTAAAATATATATTATATAAAGAGATTTAGTGTTGCCAAGTTTTATTTGTATCATTTTATGTAAAAACACATGAAAATATTTGAAGACAATTTTTTTTTGTAAATGTACCTAAATTTTTATCTTTGTAGTCATCTAACTATGTATGTACACATACATATACATGTACTATGTTATACTGAAATTATAGAACTTAGGTAATAAACATATTTGTGTGGGTCATGATATACCTATATGTGTATGTGTGTATTAGTATTTCTGTTAAAGATGAAATACAGCTGCTGTCCTAATAAAATGAATTAAATTTGTTTGAGTGAAAGATTTTTTTCTTTAGAGTCAGTAAATTGTAATCTGAGTAGTAAATTTTAAAAGGATATCTATTCAGCAACTGAATAATAAAATCTATCTAATTTAGACAAAACAGAAAAAGTCCTCTGAGTATTTAGATGGGTGAAATGTCTGAAATATGAGAATGGTTTCAAAAGAATGCAACTTTTAACATTTTAGTACAAAGGGTGACAGAAATGAGGCAAACCAGAATGTAATAGAGGGCTTCTTTTAAATTAATGCATATAAATGGTTTTTGTAATTACTGTGCCAATTTTCAGGATTGCCAGCAACTGTTTACCTTTGTTTAGTAACTTGAAATTATTTTTACTTAATAGATGTATAATCTCTAATTTTTCAGATTTCATATTAATATTATACAGATGTTTTAGATTGTGAGATTATTAAATAACCTAGCAAGGATGGAAATTCAGCTTGTATTTCTATTTATTGATAATTAGAATTGAAGTTTGTTCTTACTAAAATTAGCAAGTGAATGACCCTCACAACATAACTACAAACCAAATTACAGGCATACCTCATTGATATTGTGGGTTTGGTTCCAGACCACCATAATAAAGCGAATATCATGATGAAGTGAATCAAAGTAATTTTTTGGTTTCCCAGTGCTCCAAAATTGATATAAATCAACATTGTATAAGTCTGCAATATATCATAATTTCACTCCTGTTTTCATCTTAACCTTAAGGGCATTATAAAAGGGTTATTACTTTTTTCAAATTAACTTTCTAGGAGTTGCTCGATGAACTACAGAAATTTCTGGAAACTGAAAAAGATGAATTAATTTTGGAAGTTCCAAACCCACCTCCTAAGAAAATTCGACTACAAGAACTAGAAGATGGGATTGATGGGATTGATAATTTGAGTCAAAATGGAGAGGGAAGGATCTCCGTTATTGAAGATGGTAGCATTGCTTCCAAGAACTCAAATTTAAATGTGTGCAATGTATGTCTAGGAATTCTTCAAGAATTCTGTGAAAAAGAGTTCATTAAAAAGGTAAATAATCTATTTTTTATTATATGTGCAATTATGTAGAAATTTTTGGTCTTAAAGCCTAGAATTCTTGTATCTAAAGTAACAGTACCATTCATTTCAACTTGTTTTACACCAGTGGATCATTAAAACATTTCTTAATTATGGGCGCCTGGGTGGCTCAGTTGGTTAAGCGACTGCCTTCGGCTCAGGTCATGATCCTGGAGTCCCGGGATCGAGTCCCGCATCGGGCTCCCTGCTCA